CATTTACCGTGAATCAGTGGCTTACCAAGTTTTGTAATATAACAGCAGTTATTAATAGAAAAGCATGAGACATCTGTCTTAGGCTCTGAAAACCTTTCTTACTAAATTCCATGTGAGATATGGGAGTGGCACAGTAACAGAAATATTTATATTTTGAGAGCTTACTGATTGACTTTATGGGTGCCCTATTTTTGCTGCATTGCTCATTCATATGTAGTCATTTCCATTCATTCATTTATGCAGTAGGTTCATTTGGACAGTGACTTAGGAACTTGACTTGAGAAGCCTACAGGGAGAGGTTGAAAAGAATAGGCTATGCAAAACAAAATAGAACAACAACAAAGCTCTACTTATTGGCTCTCAATCTACCTATATTCCTTTTTCTATTCATGAGTTATTCCTCTGCCCTTAGTGCAAAACATGTCTTATTATATCTGATTGTGATTTTTTTTCCTGTTCAAATTCTCTGGGAGCAGTGTTGAGGTGGAAATTGAGGAAATGGAGAGTGCAAAGGATCAGATTAAAGATTTGTAAAACTCACAAATAGTAATGATTCTTTTTCAATGATGTCTTTCTTCAGTTAATTTAGGTGCTTTTATAGTTGGCTTTGAAAAGAACACTCAAAAGAATATTTTTAGCTTGAGAAAGTAGAAATTTCATTATATTGTTGTGGCAATAATAGTATTGCCTTTGAGATTAGACAGATCTGGGTTCACATGCTACTTGATCACTTTTGCCTGTGTAACCTTAAACTAGCTGCTATCTGTATAAGAAACCAGGCTTATTAACATGATGAAGAAAAATGGCCAAAATATTCATTATGTTAAGTTGAATTGAATCTAGTTATATAGCTAGCAGATTATGAACCAGAACATCAAAATTGTCTCTAAATATTTTGCCTCTTAAGTGTTTTGGCCATATATGTTTTTAACAACTTTATTGAGGTAAAGTAGGATGTAATAAACTATATATTTATAATATTTGATAAGTTTTGACATATTTATACCTCTATAAAACTACTACCACAATCAGTGTAATGAACATATTCATTACTCCCCCAAATTTTCTTGTGTTTCAGTGTAATTGCTTCCTACTCTCATCCTGCTGGTCTACTATTTATCACCAAAGTTTAGTTTGTATTTTCTAGAATTTTATATAAATGAAATCATATAGTATGTACTTTCTTTTTTTGATTCAGCTTTCAGCATAGTTATTTTGAGATTTATGTTGTTGCATGTAACACCAGCTCTATTTTATTAACTACTCATTCTATTTATGTACCACATCTGAATAAATCCATTACCAGTTAATAGACACTTGTTTTGTTCTCAGTTTTCAGCTATAACAAAATTTCTGTGATCATTCATGTACAAGTCTTTATATGGACATATGCATTTGTTACCTAGAAATGGAATGGATAGCTCATAAAGTGGAAATAAGTTCAAATTTGTAAGAAAGTACCAAACTGTTTTCCAACATTGTTGTAACATTTTATATTCCCACCAGCAATGAATGAGAGATCCATTTTTACCTAGTCCTTGCCACATTTGGTATTGTCACTATTTTTAAAATTCTAGCCATTGCAATAGGTATGTAGTGATACCATATTATGGTTTTACTTTGCATGTACCTTCAGTCTAGTAATGTTGAGCTTCTTTTTTGCTATGTGGATATTTGCCATCCTTTTATCTTTGGTGAAGTATCTGTTCAAAGCTCTTGTTTGTGGTTTGTTTTGTTTTGTTTTTCCTTATTCCTGAGTTTTGGAAGTTCTTTATATATTCTGGATAAAAATCCTTTATCAGATATATGCTCCCGCCCTCTGGCTAGTTTTATATTATTTTAACAGTGTCTTTTGAAAAGCAGATGTTTCATTTTGGTGAATTCTAACATATCAATTTATTTTAAGGATTGTGCTGATGGCAATGTTTCTGAGAAATACTTGCCTAATCCAAGGCCACTAAGGATTTCTCCTGTGTTTTCTTTAAGAAGTTTTATTGTTTTAGGTTCTACATAATCTATGATTTATTTTAGTTAATTTTTGCATATGGTGCAAGGTGTGGATTGAAGTTCCTATTTTTTTTGCAAGTGGTATGTTGAAATGACTATCCTTTCTGTACTAAATTACCTTTATATCTTTGCCAATATTTTTATAATTTGAATATCATTCATGTTCAGCTCTTCTTAACATAATGTGTATAAATTTTTAATATTAGCAGCACGGGGGAGGCGCACGCCATTCATGCACGAGTTGAGGATGGGAAAGTTTGAAGGGGTCGACCTCAGCGAATGTACCTCAATCGATTGAGGACGTTTTTAGCAAAGGCCAGCTTAGGAGTACCCTAATTAAATTAATAACAGTGTACCTACTTATATAGTTTAAGTTTAAAAAATTTGGCTCTCAAAAGAAATTTCAATCGTTGTACTGTTGATATTTGGCTCTGTTGACTAATGAGTTTGCTGACCACTGTCTAGTACAGCCGTGGGCAAACTACGGCCCGCAGGCTGGATCCGGCTCGTTTGAAATGAATAAAACTAAAAACAAAAAAGACCGTACCCTTTTATGTAATGATGTTTACTTTGGATTTATATTAGTTCACACAAACACTCCATCCATGCTTTTGTTCCGGCCCTCTGGTCCAGTTTAAGAACCCATTGTGGCCCTCGAGTCAAAAAGTTTGCCCACCCCTGTTCTAGTAGATGCATCATAAGCAAGAGTGGAATTTGCACAGAGATCATCATATGTTGCTTCATTTTTTTGTATATTTCTTTCTGTCTCATGAATGCTTGTTGGTGTAGTAGTACTGCTGTGAAAGATGTATTAGTTTTCTATTGTATAATAAGTTACCACAGATTTGGCAGAATAAAGCAGCACATTTATTTTCTTCCAGTATCATGGGTCAGTAGTATGGTTACAGCTTTGTTTTGGTTCTCACAAAGTTACAAACTATATGTTAACTGGACTGCAGGAAGAGAGGAAGTTCTCTTGGAGAGGGAAACATGTTATTGTTGACAAGTACAATCAACTGTGGGGCTGAGGTCTTCAGTTCTTTGCTGGCTGTCAGTGGTTACCTGCACTTCCTTGCCACATTGTTCTGTCCTAGTCCCTCTCTCAAATGGCAGATCACGTCTTTAAAGCCAGCGCCAGAATTTTTTCACTTCAGGAAGGACCTACTCTTTCTTTTAAGGGCTTTCACCTGATTAAGTCAGGGCCACCAAGGGTAGTCTCTCTCTTTTTTTAAAATATATTTTTACTGATTTCAGAGAGGAAGGGAGAGGGAGAGATAAAAACATCAAGTTTTAAATCTATTTTCATTTATTCCTTCTTTGCCTTTCTTCATGTAGATATGAGTTTAGACCTATATTATTTTCCTTTTCTCTAATGAACTTTAAAAATATCTTGCAAGGCAAGTCCACTGGAAACAAATTCTCTTTCTCTTTTTGTCTGAGAAAATCTTTATTTCTCCTTTCAAAGGTAATTTTTCAGGATACAGAATTCTAGGTTGGTAGGTTTTTTCCTCCCTTCAACATTTTAAGTGTTTTACTCTACTCTCTTCTTGCTCGCATGATTAAGAAGTTAGATGTAATTATTTGTTCTCTGTAGGTAAGGTGCTTCTTGTCCTCTGGCTTCTTTCAGGATTTTTTTTTTTTTTTTAGTCTTTGATTTTCTGTAGCTTAAAAATTATATGCATAGATGTGGGGTTTTTTTTGTTTTATAGAAATTCTCAGTCATTATTGATTTATTTCTGTTCTTTTTTCTCTTCTTCCGGTATCCCTATTACATGTATGTTATACCTTTTGTAGTTGTCCCACAGTCCTTGGATATTCTTCTGTGTGTTTTTTCCAGTCTTTGTTTTCTCTGATTTTCATTTTTTTGAGGATTCTATCGATATATTTTCTAGCTCAGAGATTCTTTACTTTGCTGTAAGCCTATCAAAGGCATTATTTATCTGTTGTTTTTTTTCCCCGTAACATTTCTTTTTGGTTCATTCTTACGGTTTCTATCTCTATGCTTACATTGTTCATCTATTCTTGCTGTCTACCTTATCCATTAGAGCCCTTAGCATATTAATTATAGTTGTTTTAAATTCCATGTCTAATAATTCCAACTTTCCATGTCTGATGCTTGCTCTGTCTCTTCACAGTGTGTTTTTTATCTTTTGGTATGCCTTATAAATTTTTCTTGATAGGTAGAAGGAACTGCTATTAATAGGGCCTGAGTAATGTGGTAGTAAGGTTGGGGTAAGGGAAACATTTTTTCCCCAGGACAGGGAATGTCCAGCCCACAGGCCATGGCCTGAGAAATCATTTGGTCTGGCCCTGCCAAGGCATTAGGGGTGAGTTAATTAAATGTTTGACCAAATGTAGCAGGCTAATTTTTAAGTTGATAATTTTGTATGGCTGTGAACGATGTTGTAAATATCCAAATGGCCCTTGGCAGGAAAAAAGTTCCCCGCCCCTGCTTTAGTCCTATGATTTGCTCTTAGTATTTTAGTGAACTTATGCCTCTGTACTGTGAACTTCACAGGTGTTTTCATTTTTTTTCTCTCCACCTAGGTAGGACAGCATGGCTAGAGTAGGCTGGGTTGGTTATTTTCTTTGTCCCAGGTCCCTTAGGCTCTGGTTAACTAGTTTCTTTTGAGGGTAGTTAAGAAGGACTGAATGCTCTGGTTTGTAATTTCATATTGGTCACCCCATCCCACCCAACCTGCGGCAAGCCCAAGAGTATTTTTCTCTAATATTTACTATGGGAATCTGGTTGAGTTACTGGAGGTAAATCTCACAGTATTATGGGAGCCTTCCAATAACTGGGTCCCCCTGGAGTTTTTATTTATTTGTCATTATTATTTTTAATCCTCACCCGAGGACATGCTTTTAAGAGAGGAAGGGAGAGAGGGAAACATTGATGGATTGCCTTTCATATGCTCCCAAAACAGGATGAAACCCACAACCCAGGTATGTGCCCTGACCGGGAATCTAACTAGTAACCTTTCGGTACACAGGATGATGCTCAATCAACTGAGCCACTCCGGCCAGCCCAACTCTTAAGAATTGTCCACATTGAGTCTCCAGCAATTCATCAGTTACAGTTCAGGCTTTCCTACTACTCATGCATTGGCTCCTATGGCAGTTTCTGCTTGTGTGTCTCTACTCTGGTAAGTTGTGACTCTTCATATGTGCCTGTCTCTCCAGCTTATGGATTTTAAACTTTGAATCCTTGAATGTTGGAAAATGTCTTTAGCTTTATTCTTTCACATTGTTAAACAGTGGTCATTGACTCCATTGCAACGCCAAAAGGAATCCCCAATTTGGAATGTGGTGAAGAAGTACACTATTCAGTGCAAAACAGTTCAATTTTTATACAGCATGGCTGTGACAGCAGCGTGATTGGAACAGCTTAGTTGTGATACAGCATGGCTGTGAAGCAGCCCTAGGACTAGCCATTCCTGGGGCCAGGCCTTTCTCTGGCTAGATAGCTCAACTCTGCTCCTCACTGACCTGCTCTGCTTCCTGCCTGTCTGCTTTGGCTTGCTTTGGTGTGCTCTGCTCTGTTCTGGTGAGACATCTTTGGTGTTTCAGCGCAGCTGGGGAACTGCAGTCTTTGGTGGAAAGGGAAAGTATGTTCTCAGAGCCAGAGGGGACCTGGCTTATATGGACAGAAGTCCCTGTCCCTGGTCCCTGATTGGTTGGTATGTTCTCTTTTACAACAGGTTTCCAAATCTTCAAAGTTTGACTGGTCCAAAAGACATTGTCCTGATTGGTCAGAATAGAGCTACTCTGGATGGTTGCAGCTGTGCAGGTTTGATTGGATGGGGAAAGCCTTAGTCCTTTTGGTTAAATAGGATTCCCGGAACTCCTTTGTAAGGGTTGGCTTAGGTGGCAGAAACACACTGCAGGCAGGCAGTTCAGTACAGAGGCAGCGAGTTTAGTAGAGGCTTCTCCCTGAAGTGCAGTTTGTGTGAGTTGTCCCTGTGTAGAAATCGCTGCTGGGCTCTGTTTTTGTCTTTGTTGTTGTTTTTAAGTTTGAGCCCAGTTAACCACCAGGAGCCCTTCTTAGTAGATGTCTTCTGTCGGAGGGTCCACAATACAAATTCTAATTTGGGGGGTATATAATTCTGTGTTTCAAATACAGTAAAGACTCAATATAACAGACTAATTCAGGCAAGTGGGTGTCTGTTATATAATTAAGTAGGTTTTCCAAAAGCATATGTTAAAAAATTGACAAATTAGTTTACCTATTTTTGCTTATATAGATGTTTGTGTAATTAAAATTATGTATGTATGAAAATTTTAATTTCATAGAAAAGCTTTCTATATGTATTACAGTCATTTTAAATTTATACTGAATAGGTGTAGTAAGTACGTGCATTCACCAGTCACCACAAGTAAACAAATGCACAGGACTGGGGCACATGGCGGGGGTATGGCTTAACACATATAAGGACATCAGCCAGCTGGCATGTGTTAAAACTGCTGCAGAACGTCACGCCATGGGACAACAGAACCAATTACCATGGGAAATGTGGTGTAATCATTCACTGAACATTGTTTACCAGCGGTGACTGTTTAATTTAAATATGTAAGCTATAATTGTACATATCTGATGTTTATTTATGTCATTGAAATTATAGTGTTTTTCCCAACATATGGCCTATTTGCTAAAATTTGTTAAAAATAATAAGAAAACCTGTTAAGTTACTTATAAGCAAAGCTTGGTTAATTGGGTGTTAATTTTCACATATGACATACAGACCGGAAATTTTGTCCATTGAGTCCAAAGTCTGTTAAATCAAACTCTGTACAATTGAGGGTTTACTGTAATTTTCTTTCAAACTTTGAAGCTACATCTTCATTGTTTTGTAATATCAAATGCTGCTAATATTGGTGTGATACCTGTTCTTCTGTAGGAATATACTTTTTCCCTCTTAGGTTACAAGTTGAGATGCAAAGATCTGTAGTCTTAAGTTTTTGTTTTTGTGTTAAGAATAAGAGTAATCTGAGAAAACCAAGATGGCAGCATAGGTAAACACCAGAAATTACTGCCTCGCACATCCGCTTCAAAAATACAACTAAAAGATAAAACGGACATCATCCAGAACCACAGGAAGGCTGGCTGAGTGGAAATTCTACAACTAGAAGGAAAGAGAAAAGCACACTGAGACTCAGAGGAAGTGCAGAGGTATGGAAGCGCACATGGAAAGGGCTGGCAACTGAGGACGCGGTTGTCTTTTTCAATTGGGAGGGAGTCTCAAGTCCCTGACTGCTCTGAACTCCAGTTCTGGGCGAGTCTCTGGGGACCCAGACACATACGGGGAGAAACTGGACTGTCTGGCATCGGTTGGAACTCCAGGGCAGCTTTCTCTCAGAGGTGCTTGCAGCAATTACTGGGACACTGACTTGTGGGGCCTCTTAGGGTAGGACTGAGAAGCAGCCATAGCTGCTTGCGCCACCCTGTTAATCTCCTGAGACCCCGCCCCACCCAAGCTGTGCACAGAGGCTTTTGCATATGAAAGGCCTGGCCCTTTGCAATCTGAAAATTACCTAACAAACTGCAGCTGGGTCAGAGAGACACAGAACTTCCAAAAGAAGGCCCAAGGCCCCACAGCAGCTTGCATTGCTTCACAGCTGGGCCTCATCTGGGCACCACCAAAACCCAAACAAGGCAGAGGAACCTGCAGATCT